TTGATGAACAGCCATTCTTAGTAGTCTAAGACTTAGTGGTCTGAGTTATTGGTCTTTCTTCCTTTATGGTTTCTGTTTTTTAAAAAAATTTTCCCCAGTTCATGCTCCCTTCACCCTTTTCCCCAAAAGTAAGCACTATTTCGATTTCTAAAACTATAGGTTAGTCTTGCCTTGTTTTTTATCATTAGTTGGGGAATCATGCAGTATTCTTGTGATTCTAGCTTGTTTTACTCAGCTCTTTGTGTGAGTCATTCATTTTGTCGTTGTTGGCATATTGCAGTAGTTCATTTTCATTGCTCTGTGATATTCTTTTGATGACTGTTAAAGCAATCTGTTTATCCATTTTTATCATTGGGGAACATCTGAGGTTGGGACTATTAAGAGTAACTTGTGGGGGAGCCTGGGTGGCTCAGTCGTTAAGCGTCTGCCTTCGGCTCAGGTCATGATCCCAGGGTCCTGGGATCAAGTCCCGCATAGGGCTCCCTGCTCGGCAGGAAGCCTGCTTCTCCCTGTCCTACTCCCCCTGCTTGTGTTCCCTCTCTCGCTATCTCTCTCTCTCTCAAATAAATAGATAAAATCTTTAAAAAAAATAAAGAGTAATTTGTGAACACTCTTAATGCACATCTTTTGGTATAGGTGTGCATTTCTTCTGGATGGTAGTGCTGTGTCATGAGATAACTTAGGTTCAGCTTTAATAAATACTGCCAAAAGTTGCCTGTGGTGGTTTCCAGCTTATACTCTTACCATTATGAATGCCTTTTGGGGTTCATAGTGCTTCTTTTTTTTTTAATTGTTTAACCAATTTATATTTTATGAATGCTTTATTTTTAAAAAAAATTTTATTTATCTGACAGAGAGAGACAGCGAGAGAGGGAACACAAGTTGGGGGAGTGAGAGAGGGAGAAGCAGGCTCCCCACAGAGCAGGGAGCCCGATGCAGGGCTCGATCCGAGGACCCTGGGATCATGACCAGAGCTGAAGGCAGACGCTTAATGGCTGAGCCACCCAGGTGCCCTCATGGTGCTTCTTGAATCTATGGCTTGATGACTTTGATCAGTTTTGGAATATTTGGTCATTGTCTCTTTAGCTATTGCTTCTGTCCCTTTCTCGCTCATTTGGAACTCCAGATAGAACGATGATAACTCTCTTTACCATGTCTCTTTAGCTCTTACATTCTCTTCTGCCTCTTCGCATCTTTTTATCTCTCTATTCTTAGCTCTAAACGTTTTCTTCTGACCTATCTTCCACTTCAGTAATTCTTTTTTTTTTTTTAAGATTTGTTTATTTATTTTAGAGAGAAAGGGGGTTGGGGCAGAGGGAGAGAGAGAATCTCAAACAAACTCTACACTGAGCGCAGAGCCCAGTGTGGGGCTCAATCTCACGACCCTGAGATCATGACCTGAGCCAACACCGAGAGTCAGACACTTAACCGACTAGCCACCCAGGCACCCCCCACTTCAATAACTTACATTGTGTCTAATCCGCTGTCAAACCCATTCACTAAGTTCTTAATTTCATTTATTGTGGGTTTTTTTTTTTCAGTTCTAGAATTTCCATTTGGTTATTTCATATTTTCCAGTACCCTGCCAGGATTCTCTGTCTTGTCATTTAATTTCTTTTAACATATTAATCATAGTTATTTAAAAAAATTTGCATCTGATGTTCTGTTTTCTGGATCTGTTGTGGTTTGTATCTTTGACTTTTTTCCCCCTCTTGCTTTGGAGGATTTTGTCTTTTTTGTATGCTTTATTTTTTATTTGGTTTTGGAAAATATAGATGAAAAATTACAGTGATTACATCATCCAGAGCCTTATATATCTTTTTTTGCCTTTGGCAGGCAGTTAGGCTAAGATTGCCTTAATCCAACCAAGGACTGAACTGATTAAAAGCTAGGCTTCAGTCCTTGGGAGGGCCAGTATATTTTTGGGCTCTCCTAACCTTTGAGGTTACAGCCAAAAGCCTAAAGTGTTTTCCTCAGCCCCCTCCTAGTCTTAATGAGACTGCTGAAAATTCTGCTCAGACTCTCAGGAGCAGCTTTCAAGTTAGCAAACATCTCAAGGGAGAAAATGTCACCAAATGTCAGTCTTACCTCCTTGCATTTCCCATTTCTCGATGATTTTTGGCTTCGAAATCCTTTTGCCTTGATAAGCTCTTTAGTGCTTTCAAATATATGTTCTTAATATTGTATTCAGTTTTCACAGCTGTTGTTAGTAGGAGGGCTGGTTTAAAACAGTCTAGTCCACGATTGCTTTATGCTTGGCTTATTCTTTCAAAATCTGAGATTATACTAAGTAAAATCAGCCAGTTGCAAGAAGACAAATACTATATGATTCCACTTATATGAGATATCTGAAGAAGTCAAATTTATGAAAACAAAAGTAGAATGATGGTTACCAGGGACTTCAGGTCTGTGGTTTAGGTTTATTCTTGGTTGTATGTTCTTTACCATTGTGTGTGTGTGTGTGTGTGTGTGCGCGCGTGCACACACACACTTTTTTTTAACTGAGCTCATCAGGTAAATTTTTTTTTAGCCATGTTGGTTTCTTTAGGTATCTCCATTTAGAAAATTGGATATGTACTACAAGTCAGAAGTTCAGTGAAGTAGCATTATATGCATATCTAATAAAGATTTAACTTTGGGGCACCTGGGTGGCTCAGTTGGTTAAGCATCCAACTCTTGATTTCAGCTCAGGTCGTGATCTCAAGGTCATGAGCCCCATATCAAGCCCTGCATCAGGCTCTGCACTTGGTGGGTGTCTACTTGAGATTCTCTCCCTCCCTCTCTGTCTGCCCCCCCCCCCCCGCTTGCACACACATGTGTGCTCTCTCTTAAATAATAAATAAATAAATCTTTAGAAAAAAAGATTTAACTTTATATGTTTAGGGGAAAAGAAAGAAAGAAGGAATGAGAAAAAATGGAAGGAAGGATAAAATTAGTCATTTAAATAATGGGAAAGCAAAATAGCAATCCAAATAGTGGGAAGAGTTCTTCTCAATTAGCTGATACCCCAGAGTGAGCATTAGGGAAAGCTCTGAGTTTATTGTTCCTTCACCTGCCTGTGTTGAATTCATTGAAAATAATTCCTCCCTGAGGAAGTTTCAAGGGTAATATTAATTACATACAATTTTTACTTTACCTGCTAACCTTAGATTCCCAACCTGTGTTTAAGCTTTAGCTTCAATACAAAGAAAAGAAAATAATATCCTTTTTATTTCCCATTGGCATTATTCATACTGTTATAATCTAGATTTTATTTCTTTTACATTTTCTTTTACAGATGATATTACCTTTTAAAGTCTTTGGCCTCTAGGACAAATCTATCTTTTCCATGTTCTTTTGAACATGTGTACTATATCTAGCATTGCTTTCCTTCAGCATTAACACAATCCAAGATGCATAGTCACTTTCAGAGTTTCCACCTTCTATCATCAATAAAATAAAAATAAATCCAGAGTTGCAGTATATCTCCCTCATTATAACTACATCTTACTTCTCTTTCAGTTTTGTAATGCATGTTAGGACAAGATGGCCAGGATTTTTGTCTGGTCAGATGGTCTGTACTGTATTTATAGAACAGTATCATATACACCTACTTGTATCCCTGACAAGAGTTACTGACAAGCAGTAAATTAAAAATAGCAGGTAGCAGCTTACGAGGCAGAGGAGGGGGGAATCTACCTTCTTATAAGAGCAAATTAAATCTCTAAGGAATTAAAAGCAATTAAAATGTTCTCTTTAATCTCCTAGTCTGTGCTGTTTCATGATTAGAACAGGCATCCCAAAAGTGTGAAAACCACAGAATTCAATATATTGAGTACAGTTACTACCTCTAGCTTATATAGTTCTCTTTTATATGTAGCTTATATATATCATCAAGGGCCTTGCCATTTGAGAAGGATACAAGAGCAGATGTATGTTCTTTATAAAGGATATAGGGAGTGGCTAATTATTTCATAGAGTAAAATATGAATGCTACCAAATAACAGAACTTAACCATTTGACACTTAAAAGTAGAGAGAAGTACACTAAGGTCAGTATGTGATACTTGGCCAAATGGTACTGTGGTAACTGACTTCTAGAAACCCAAAGTCAAATGCCTTGCTCTCTGGCTACAGTGGAAGTAGTATCTAAGGAACAAAGGGCATCAGCCTGTTTTAAGCTAGTCATGTCAGAGAGGAAAATTATTTTCACTATGCTTCCATTTATTGTTAGTTTAGCAAATTTTTGGTATGCCTTTTGTTGAAAGCACCATGCTAGGTTCTCTGCCAGAGTAGTTGTTGAATAGTTAAAGGTGGTCCTAATTCTCTGCCCACACTGGCTTGACTTAAATTCCTTGTCCCATCTACCTAGCTACTGCTACTCTTTGGTATCCAAGACTCAGCCCTGATGCCTCTCTTCCTCATTGAAACTTATTTGTGTGTTATAACCTGTTCTTCCTTGGTAGCCTCTCCGTGCGGTCTAACGTGTCTGCTCAGAAATTCTTCTTAAAATTAATCTGGGCTCACAGTGGAAAGATACAGCCATGAGGCAACATGCTTTTTTAACAGTGACTGTCGAGCATCATATTTCTCCTGTCCTTATCTTTCTTTCCTCCCCCCTCCCAACTTTAAAAAATCCTGTCAATGATTCCAGTGATGAGAATTTCAGGTTAGAAAGGTAGGAAGGTGATGATGGAGGGGGGTTTTGGAAGAATGATCATGTCCTTGAAGTGTCCCTCAAATGATATCTTACTGGTGATAATCTAGCCAACCCACATGCTGTGGGGTCTTCGTGAATGTAGGGAGTAAGGAACCTGAATGTTGATGGAACATACAGTTTTTCACAGCTGATGCTAGTAAGTTTTTCTTTTTAAAACCACGTTGTTCCTCTTATAACGTAGGTGTTTATCCATCAGTGTTAGAACTACTGTTCTTTTGCACAGACGGTGACAAATACTTTGTGTGGCACCATCTGGCTATTATATTTACTTTTGTCTTATATGTATCTTTTTTTTCCCCCAGGCTGCCAGTACACCACTGAATCCTTTAAGTTTTCAGTGTGAATTTGTAAAACTCAGGATTGACCTTCTACAAGCCTTCTCTCAACTTATCTGTACTTGTAATAGCCTCAAGACAAGCCCCCCACCTGCAATTGCCACAACAATTGCCATGACCTTAGGGAATGACCTTCAGAGGTGTGGTCGCATCTCCAATCAGGTGTGTCTTCACTTGATTTTCAGTGCAGTTTTTATTTACACTTTAGAGGTTTTTGAGGTTAGTTGTGAGATGAAAAATTCTGAAATTTAAAAATCAGCTGTTTGACTAATGGGCATTAACCATCAAATGCTTAACTCATCTGTCTTGCCAAAAATAGGCTGATGTTTTATTAGAATGACAAAGTGACTGATGATGTCTCACTAGATTCTACATATTTATAACTGTATTAATTGTTTTAGTGGAACTTGAAGCTAACAAAGCAATGCTTTTTTGTTTCTGCATGTCATATGTATTATTGTAATTGTGTAAACATTTAGAATTTCATTTACCATCTTTGTTCATTTTATTTAACAAGGTTTATAAGCATGAATGGAATGGAAATGAAAAGGGTTGAACTACTTTTTGGATTTGATTGAGGATAGGTTTTTTTTATGTTTTGGTTTTTGTGGTATATCATTATACAATAATGATAGCATCTTCCTTGTAATTGATCCTTCTCCTTCTTTTTAGATGAAACAGTCCATGGAAGAATTCCGAAGCCTTGCTTCCCGATATGGGGATCTTTATCAGGCATCTTTTGATGCTGATTCCGCAACATTGAGGAATGTGGAACTGTATCCTAAGCTGCTTCAGTATTTCTTGTTCTTTGGAAGTATTCTTTTAAACGTAGAGTAAATGCTTTAGATATGCTTAACTAAAAATATGTATATTTAGATTAGCCTACAAATTTATTATGATTAATAACTTCTCTTTTGAAATCTAGTGTGAGCAATATAATTTTACTTTTTAACTTCAACGAGGCTTAAAAAAAAAAAAGTAGTGACTCAGTGGTGGTCTTTCTCCACCACTAGGAAGAGCATCCAAAATCCAGGTCCCACCAGTGTTGCATACTTTGTGTTCACTTGAGCTACAGTGGAGAAGGCAACACATTTTCCCATCAGAAAACCATTTTCTTCTTGTGTTACCTCTGTCTTCTTCATGGTGTAAACCCTGGTTCCCATCACCTTTATTAGTGATCTGTAGTTTTAGTCATCACTTTGGTTCCCTAAGTTCTCTTTGAGTTCTCCATATTTAATTAGCAGCCTCAAATCCTTTTTGAAAGGAAGGAAGAGATATATTGTTTTTAAGTTGTGGGACCTATAAATCAGTAGTGCTTAGCATTTTGGTTTTCTAAATAAAACCTATGAATGCTATGGACGCTTTCCTCTACAAAATGCATTTATGCACACACCCGGCAGATTTTCATAGTCCCAGGAGGGTTACCAGATCCCTTGAGCCCCAGCTTCAGAACCTCTGGAGTAACTACAGACCATTTTTGGTGTTGCTTTTAACTTTTATCACCGAAACTCCTACATCTAAGCAGAAGAGAACAGTTTCTGTGATTGAATCACAGAGCCTGCTGTTTGGTTCCCCCTTCCCACATTAGGCAGCCTCTGAAGTACTATTCCTGGAGCAGAGTTTAAGAATCACTATTATAAACAACATATATCCCTTAAAAGGGGAAAAAAAAAAATGAAATCTTAAACCACTTGATTTGATAACATATGGTTACCTTAACTAAAAATATAATCCTCATCTTGACTTGATATTCAGGTAATACAAAGTCTACATGGATTTCTCTATTTTCATGTAAAACCTTAACATTAATCCAGACAGCAGCAGAGCTGTTTACTGATATCTCATGCAATAGAAGCCCTGATTTTGGATCCAGAATCAGCAAGGTATTTCTAATAATAGTTTACATTAAGGTACATTTTCCAGTGTCGTCTTACCTAATCATCACAACATGTGTTTTGGAAGAGGTGTTACATGTGTTTTGGAAGAGGTATTATGGAAGAACAAACAGAGAAGAAGGACTTTGTTAGTATTTGCCTGAGTTCACACACCTAGTGACAAAACTTGCTTTTTCTGACTCCATTGTTTATTTACTTCTGCCTTTTTTTTTTTTTTTTAAGACTTATTTATTTTAGAGGGGAGAGGGAGAGAGAGAATCTCAAGCAGACTCCCCACCAAGTGCAGAGCTGAGGCGGGGCTCGATCTCAGGACTCTGAGATCATGACCTGAGCTGAAATCAAGAGTAGGACGCTTGGGCGCCTGGGTGGCTCAGTCGTTAAGCGTCTGCCTTCAGCTCAGGTCATGATCCCAGGGTCCTGGGATCGAGTCCCACATCGGGCTCCCTGCTCGGCGGGAAGCCTGCTTCTCCCTCACCCACTCCCCCTGCTTGTGTCCCTGCTCTCGCTATCTCTCTCTCTGTCAAATAAATAAATAAAATCTTTAAAAAAAAAAAAAAAAGAGTAGGACACTTAACTAACTGAGCCTCCCAGGTGCCCCACTGCCTCCTATTTTTAAAACATTGACTTGGAAAAATAACTAGGAAGAAATTCTTTGAATTTGAATATTTTCTTCTTGTATACTATAACTAAATTTTGGTATGAAAAATTGGTTTAATAATTAAGCTTGAATTTTTTATTTGGTTTCTTAAACAAAAATACATTTGTTTTTGCTTTATTAATATTCTTTTCTCCTCTCCCATTAACTATTCAAAATGTTTTATTAAAGAATGATCCACTGTTTTTTTTCCCGTTACGGTATTCTGTTTTGGAATGTGCATTTTCAACTGTCTGTAATTTCCAATTAATAAGGCCTATGATTCCAAGGTCAGCTTTCTCAAAGAGAGTATTAATCAACAAACAGAGTGAAATTTCTCTACCCTACAGCATTGACTCACCATTTCTTTTCAGGACAATAGCAAGATCCTTGCTTATGTTTTAAAGTTCTGCCTACTTTCAGACTAAGCCACTTGGCTATCTTTGTCGCCACTTATCCAATCCATTTTAATATAATATTCGCTTATTTTTCCTTTTATCCTGTTTTCATCAGTGTTCATTTTCTCTTCAGACTTGCAGGGCTTATTTGAAAAAAAAAATTCCTTTTAAGTTTCAAAATGTTCTTAAACCTCCATGTACTTTATAGAGTCTTTGCCAATTAATTGTTGCTTTGAGGATCACACTGTTTCTTACTGTGCCACACTCATTTTACTTCTTAGCACCCAGATATCATTGTACTGTTGATTGGCATAATAAGTATAAGTGTTTTTCTTGATTGACTTTTTAACAGATTGGGTGCATTGTCAGCAGGGATGGGGTGAAGGGAGTTATCCAGCCAGCTGACACATGCTATTCTCTACTCTCTGTCCTTCCTACCACTTTTTTTCACTCCTCTTCTTCCCCTCTCATCCTCCAAACCTATTCCCCTAGCCTCTGCCCTCCATAGCAGGGAAAAATTGGAAAAGAAAGTTTGCACCTTGAAGGAGGGTTCTTTGGGTTTCATTCTCAATAGTATACAACTGCAAAGAGTGGAGTCCTTCTAAAACTTCTGCTCTTGATTTTATATTCTGCACCTTCCAAATAAAAAAAGACTAGCAGCAAAAAAACCTCAAGAGTGAGGCATAATGTTAATATTTCACTAATCTGTCTATCTTTTTCGTAGCCTAGGAGCTTTTTGGGGAGAAGAGACCTTGTCTTATTATCTCTGGCACCTAACATAGTGCCTGAGCCAGTAACAATAAATATGGATTAGGACAGGGTAAATGTCTCTTAATTATGAATGTGATTGTCTGCCTCATCCCACCTTTTTAGAATTATCAAGAAGAAATATTTTGAGATGGTTGTCCATGGCATTTTTCTACTCTTAGCTTTTTATTTGCTCTGTCATGATTCCTTTGCACTTAATCTTTATTTTACTGCCTAAACCATAAGGGAACAGTTTCCGACGGTAACAGAGTAAGACTGGGCTTTTCCTTTTATTACAAACAGCTAAAACATGTAAGTTCACTGTTTTCACATGCTGGGAAACTCAGGAATGTAATCCCTCAGAGGAGGGACATAAATAAGGTAAACACTACAAGAGTCTTTACTTTCCTCTCCCTGAAGGCACTTTTTAGACTGCCTCTCAGGGAGGAATAACCAAAGCAGAACATGGTGAAGAGATAGGGATCAGAGTTCAGGGAACCAGAAGAAGCTAGAATTTGCAGGACAGAATATAAGAGAGAGGAAGAAGCTTTCCAGGGAAAGAGCTCCAGAAATTTCACAGGCTGTGAATCTTTGGCTGAGTGCTAAGCTACACATACGTAAAGTGAAACTCCACAAGGCCAGGCAAAAAACTACTAGGGAAAGAGTAATTACCAGGAAGCTATAAGCTGAACAATTCCCAGAGCTCACACATGTCTGAGAAATGTTTGCATTCCAACTAGCCAAATGGAGAGACCTTATTGAACACTGAGAGCATTCAGAAGAAACACCAGAAGAGTCAAGAAGACATAATTCTAAATATTTATGTACAAAGTAACAGATCTTCCAAATATATCAAGCAAAAACCGAAGGAAAAAAAAGAACTGAAAGAGAAATAAATCCACAATTACAAAGTTCTCAACAATTCCCTCTGAGTAACTGATGAAACAACTTGTTGGAAAATTTCTTAGGATATAGAAGACTTTAACACCACCACCAGTCATTTTGATCTAATTGACCTGTATGTACCAACAGCAGCATACGTGTTCTTTTCAAGTGCATTTGGAACATTTAATGAGATAAACCATATGCTAGGCTAGAAAGCAAATCTCAAATTTTAAAGCATTGAAATCATATGGAATATGTTATCTGACAAATTAGAATGGACTAACAAAAATGATCTCTAGAAAATCCCCACATATTTAGAAATTAAATAAGACTTCTGAATAACCCAGTTGGTCAAAAAATCAGAAGGGAAATTAGGAAATATGTTAAACAATGAAAATGAGAAAACCACCTATCAAAACTTGTGGGATGCAGCTAAAGCAGAGCTTAGAGGGAAATTGATAGCTTTAGATGTTTTTATGTAATATAAAAAAGTTTAAAATCAGTGATCTAAATTTCTGCCTTATCTGAAGCTAGAAAAAGAAAGCAAATTAACTCAAAATAATTTAAAGGAAAGAAGTAACAAAAATATAAGCACTGATCAGTGAGTTAGAAATAAATAGTTGAGAAAATCAGTGAAACCCAAAGCTGGTTCTTTGAAAAGATCAATAAAACTGTTAATACTAGCTAGTCTGAGCAGTAAAGGAACACGAATTACTAATATCAGAAATCAAGTAAGAGTACCAATCCAAATCCTATAGCTATTAAAAGCCATAATAAGGGAATAACAACAGATCTTCATGAACACAGGTATAAAAATCATTTTAACAAAACATGTAGAAATTGAATCCAGCAATATACAAAAGATAATACATCAAGACCAAGTAGGTTTTATCCCAGGAATACCAGGTTAACAATAGAAGATCAAACAGTGTAATTTGCCATATTGCAGAATAAAGGAGAAAAGCTAAAGTAGAGGACTTAACAAACATTTCAAGTCTTACTATAAAGCTGTAGTGATTAAGACAATGCAGTATTGGCTTGATGGTAGAATGGAGAGCCCAAAATATGGAGAGACCACTCACATATGTGATCATTTGATTTTTGACAAAGGTGCCAAGATAATTCAATAGGGAAAGGATAGTTTTTTCAATGAGTGGCGCTAGGATAGCTAGTTATCTATATAGGGAGGGAAAAAAAAAAAAAAAGAATCTTGACCTTGCTTCACACCATACAGAAAAATTAATTCCGAATATATCACAGACCAAAATGTAAAAGGTAAAACTCCAAACTTTCTAGAAGACTACATTGGAGAAAGTCTTCATGACCTAGAGATCAGCAGAGATTTCTTAGGATACAGATAGCAGTTACCATAAGAGAAGAATTTGCTAAATTGAACTTAAATTTTTAAATTTCTGCTGTATGAAAGATGCCATTAAGAAAATGAAAAGACAGGTCACAGGGAGATTCTATCAGAGGACTTGTATTCAGGATATTAAGAACACACAACTCAAGATAACACAGTTTTTACAAATTGACAGATTTGAAAAGATGTTTCAAAAAAGGAGGTGTGCTAATGTCTAATAAGCAAAAAACACTTAACATCATTAAGCATCAGAGAAATGCAAATTAAAATCGCAATGAGATATCTACTAACACCCACTAAAATGGCTAAAATTAAAAAGACCTTCAATATCCAGGATTAGGATATGAAGGAGCTTGAATTCCTACCATTTGGGGAATACAAAATGATTCAGTTCAGCCACTTTGGGAAACTTGTTGGCAGCAACCATATGACCATTTCTACTCCTACTTACTTACCCATAAGAAATGAAAACATATTTCCACACAGACTTGTATGTAAAATTTCATTGCAGCTTTGTTTGTAATAACAAAAACTGTAAAGATCCAAATGCCACTCAACAGGCGAATGGCTAAACTCATACATCCATACAATGGAGTACTACTCAGCAGTAAAGATGAATGACCTATTGATCTATGCAAAATACATGAATGACTCTCAAAAACATGCTGTGAAGGAAACCAGACACAAAATAGTACATATTTTAGGACTCTGTTTATATGAAATAACAGGAAACATCCTATTTATAGTGATTGAAAGCACACCTGTGGTCGCCTTGGGTCAGAAGTGGGAATTGACTAGAAAGGGGTATTTCGAATAGGTGTATTTCTGTGCTTTTGTAACTTATATCTCAATGAAGTGTATTTTTTAAGTAAATGAATGCTTTTGTAGGTAAAGCAGTGTATCCTGAATTTAGACCCTCTTAGTAGCAGATATAAAAGACTTTAATTTCTTTATGCTTTATTTGTGTGTAGAGTTTTTCTTAGAGTCATACAAATGAGGTTCAGTTCTTGTCTTATTGGAACTTAAGGTACAGTACGGAGCAGGGAATACAGTACAGAGCAGGGAACAAAGCTTTGGAGCCAGGCAGATATGAACATGATGAATCCTTTATCGTTCACTCCTAGCTGTAGAAATATGTGCATGGAATTTCATCTCCCTGAACCGCATATGCATGAACTACAGGTAAATAATGATGCCTGTCTCCTAGAGTGGCTGTAATGGTTAAAGGGAATAACCCATATAAAGTACCTAAGTGAAGTGCCTTAGTGGTGCCTTTTAACACACAGGTGTTAAAAGGGTAATAAGGGAAGAATAAGAACAGTTTTATGCCCAGTGTGGCTAAATTACCTATATTGCATTTTCAAGTAATCCCGTTGAAGTTTAGTTAGAATACAAAAGATTTGCGGTGGCTCAGTCGTTAAGCGTCTGCCTTCGGCTCAGGTCATGATCCCAGGGTCCTGGGATCGAGTCCCACATCGGGCTCCCTCCTCGGCGGGAAGCCTGCTCTCCCTCTCCCACTCCCGCTGCTTGTGTTCCTGCTCTCACTATCTCTGTCTCTGTCAAATAAATAAATAAAATCTTTAAAAAAAAAAAAAGGTTTGCTTTCTTTTCTCACTTAGAGATACTTTCAGAAATACTTTTTGGGTGTGAGGCAGTAGAGGAAGAAAGAGGAAATCTAGGTAAAACTTTCCCAGCATGCTCTGTGTGCTAGCTCTCCCCTGAATTCCCACACCTTCCCTGTCCATGCTTTAGTTTCATGCCATTTCTGCAGCCCTGAATGCCCACCACACTTCCATCTCTCCACATCTTGTCCATCCTGCTTGCCCAGTGGTTTGTTCAGGAACCATCTCTTCTGTGGCATTCCCCACTCCCTCCACATTCTGATCTTTTATTTATATATCTTCACTGGTTATGTGGCACTTAACCTGCTGGCTTTATACTGCTTGGTTACCTTTTCAAATGTCTTGGGTCTCCTTCACCTCATGGCAGAGGCAACAGTTAAACATTTTTCTACTACCTAACAACCAAAGTGATTAGCCTTACATAATTTGAAGTCAGGTCTGGGTTTAAATTTAGGGCTTGTTACTTACTAGTTATGTGACTGAAGGCAAGTCAGTTAACCTCTCTAAGCCTCAGTTGGCTCATCTGTAAAATGGAAATAGCAGTGCCTACTTTGTTATTTTACAAAATAAATGAGAACATGTAGAAAGTGCCTGACACATTTAGACATTAAGATGGTAACTATTTTGGGTGATTAATTGTTGCTGATTTGACCTCAGTTTCCAGGAATCTGGATCTACTGGAGCTGCCCACGCTGACAGTGAATATGAGCGGAGAATGATGTCTGTATACAATCGCGTCTTGGAAGAAGTGGACTCACTCAATCGGAAATATACCCCTGTTTCTTACATGGCAAGTGGCATTTGGTTCATTGAGTTTTTATTACACGGAAGTGGGTTTTTATCCAACTCGGGCACTTCCTAACCTTGTGACTTCAGTAAATTCACCTCTCTGCCAGTTTTCTCCATGCCTGTTTTATAACAGGGTTACTGTCATACCTGCCTTGCAGCATTGCTGTGAGGATGAAATGAGCTAATCCATGGCAGCGCTTGGCACCTCTGTGGCTGCTGCATAATTAATGTGTCGAATCTGCTCCCCCAGAGCGCAAATAAAACTTCTTTTTTTTTTCCTTTTTAATAATTCAACCGAAGTTGCAATAGTTCTCAACCCTGGCTATACATTAGAATCACTTTGGGAGCTTTTTAAAAAATGCATCAATACCCAGGCCGCACTCTAGACCAGTTAACTTGGAATCTCTGCAGTTGAGGGCCAAGCATTAGTCTTTTTCCAGGCTCCCAGGTGATTCTGTCCTGCCACTGGGCTTGAGAACCACTGGCCAATGGAAACAGAAAGAACTGGGCTCATCGTCTACCTGCCAGGGGATGCCACTGACATCCTTAGTGCACTGCTTCCCCTTAGCCTGCTGAATCTCTGCGATCTTTGGGAGTGTTGAGCTCTTGCTCTTTCTTCAGTCTTTTCCCCCACATAACAGACTAACACACACCCAGAGTTTCTCCTTCCTGTCTGGCCATTCCCCAGTGTCTTAGTCAGCTCAGGCTCCTATACCAAAATCCCTCTAGACTGGGTGGCTTAAACAACAGACACTTCTTAATCCTAGTTGTGGGGGTTGGAAAGGCCAGGATTAAGGTGGCAGCCAGTTGGTTCCTGGTGAGGACCTTCTGGCTGGCTTCCAGACGGCCCCCTTCTCATGGTGTTCTCACACCGGGGAGAGAAAGGGAGCTCTGATCACTTTTTTTCTAATAAGGACACTAATCCCATCATAGGGCCCCATCCTCATTTTTTCATCCAAACCTAATAACGTCCCAAAGGCCCCACCTCCAGTTACCAACACACTGGGGCTAGGGCTTCAAAATAGGAGTTTGGAGAATAAAGACATTCAGTCCATAAGACCCCGTCTGTGAACTTACACCTTGGAGAGTTGCCCTTGCCCTGCCCGCCCATTAGATGCTGATATCTATCCCCTGCAGCTCTCTTGTGGCTCCCACTCTTCTCACTGTACTCTCACCTTTTATCAAGTGTTTAAGAAGAAATTGGCAAGATGCGTTGTGGAAGAGTTAGATTAGATTTCAGGACAGGAACTTTCCTGGACATACTGCTTTCCATATATGATTGTCAATATTTATTTGCTGAACTGAATTGATGGGGGGAATGGTTTGACACTGAGATTTGGTTGCTAAGGGACAGTGTAAAGATTATCTTTGAAGGAAATATGCACATCTCTGCAAGACATAGATTAAATTAAATACAAAGGTTAGAAAGTCCCGGATTCAACAAAGAAGAGTGCTGGTGCTCTGCTAGTCCTCCTGCTGGTTCATTAACCATAATATGTGACTTCATGTCTCTAGACTCTTCCTGTGATGGTAATCTGCTACTAACGTACCTGTGGAGGTGTGCCCCAGGCGCCGGTGGCCTCAGAGGCGGTCCACACTGTCCCTGGAGGAAATTGTAAAATCTGCATCCGTTCTTTTAAAACCGAGATTGGTGCCTTTTTGCTGGGGAACAGCCTGAGGTCACTTGGTGTCCACTTTAGTCCATCCTTTAAAGAGGTGTCTCTCCTCAAATACTCTTGGCATCAGACTTCCATTACCAGTAGGACATCCCTGCAAATGCTTCCCAGGTTCCTTGTTGCGGGAAGATAAATAATGTTGTGTTAGCAGTTAAACCTGAAGAAAGAGACCCAACGTGTTGGAATCTATGTTGTGGTTTTCTCAAGTAATAGTCCTGCCATTTGTATTATGGGTCTATTGGGCACGAAATGTTCAACACCCTGAAACCAGTGAGGAGTGGATTCTTCTGGTGTGTAGCCTTAATGCCCAACTGTTTAAAACTGTTTACAACATAGGCAACGAGGTGGCACCCTGCTTGGAATCAGGAGCTTAGAAGGGCAGCCAGCAGAGTAGAGTAGTTTTCACCCTGATGCGCTTTGGGGCCACTGATGGGCAAGTAGACTGAGGAGGGGAGGGTAGACCAACAGGAATAGTTCTGGGTCACCCAAAGTTACAAGTGTTCTGATGGTGCTGTAGCTTTTTTTCTATTAAGTTGGTGAATCGTTGTGAAATAGAACAAATCCTTGAACTAAGAGTCAGGAAACCTAGGTTCTAGTTCTAGCTTGTTTTGTTACCTGTCTGGGTGACCAGCATCATCAGCAAAATTGAGGATTAGCCTGGGTGACCTTTACAATATCTTTGATGGTGTCACAGGTTGTATACTCATCTCCAAACTCATCAAGTTGGATACATTAAATATATACAGCTTTTTGTATGTCAGTCATACCTCAATAAAGTGGTTTTAAATAAATAAATGTTTATAATATCTTAGAACTCTTAAATTCTGGCCTATGACTCCTTTTACTAACCCTCAAAGATTCACTGAAGTGACTCTCATCTGCAGCTATTCTGGGAGTTTCAAAACTCAGTTTAATTTGTGAAATGGATTTTTGAAATAAGGTACTCTTACTAAAATTTCAGAATTCTGTAGAGTTGAACTATATAGTCATTCTTAATCTTAATTCCAGTAAGTTTTCACCATTGCTCACTCTCTAGGGACCCATGGCCACAAGAACAGGGAAGTCACCCTATGGACATGGGATGGAAGAACAAGGCAGTGAGGCTCCCCATGGGATTTGGTGTTAAGCCTTGGACATCAGTATACTGTGCTGGCTTCTTTATCATACATTCTTTTCTTTTTAAATCAAATATGCTTGTATGTTTGTTTTTTGTTCATTTTTTTATTAACATAATATATTTTTTGTTTCAGGGGTACAGGTCTGTGATTCATCAGTCTTACACAATTCACAGCACTCACCATAGCACATACCCTCCCCAGTGTCCATCATCCAGCCACCCCATCCCTTCTACCTGCCTCCCCTCCAGTAACCCTCAGTTTGTTTCCTGAGATTAAGAGTCTCTTAATGGTTTGTCTCCCTCTCTGGTTTCATCTTGTTTCATTTTTCCCTCCCTTCCCCTATGATCCTCTGTCTTATTTCACAAAATCCTCATATCAGTGAGATCATATGATACTTATCTTTCTCTGATTGACTTATTTCACTTAGCATAATACCATCTAATTTCATCAACGTCGTTGCAAATGGCAAGATTTCATTTTTTTGATGGCTGAATAATATTCCATTGTGTGTGTGTGTGTATATATATATATATATATATATACCACATCTTCTTTATCCATTCATCTGTTGATGGACGTCCAAGCTCTTTCAATATAGTTTAGCTATTGTGGACATTGCTGCTATAAAGCACTGGGGTGCATGTGCCCCTTCAGATCACTACATTTGTATCTTTGGGGTAAATACCCAGTAGTAGAGGGTAGCTCTATTTTCTATCTATCATAGGGTAGCTCTATTTTCAACTTTTTGAGGAACCTCCATACTGTTTTCCAGAGTGGCTGCACCAGCTTGCATTCCCACCAACAGTGTAGGAGGGTTCCCCTTTCTCCGCATCCTCGCCAACATTTGTCGTTTCCTGACTTGTTCATTTTAGCCATTCTCACTGGTGTGAGGTGATATCTCATTGAGGTTTTGATTTGTATTTCCCTGGTGCCAAGTGATGTTGAGCATTTTTTCATGTGTCTCTTGGCCATTTGGATATCTTCTTTGCAGAAATGTCTCTTCGTGTCTTCTGCCTATTTCTTGATTGGATTATTTGTTCTTTAGGTGTTGAGTTTGATAAGTTCTTTATAGATTTTGGATACTAGGCCTTTACCTGATACGTCATTTGAAAATACCGTCTCCCATTCTGTCGGTTGTCTTTTGGTTTTTTTGACTGTTTCCTTTGCTGAGCAAAAACTTTTTATCTTGACAAAGTCCGAATAGTTCATTTTTGCCCTTGCTTCCCTTGCCTTTGGCGATGTTTCTAGGAAGAAGTTGCTGCGGCTGAGGTCGAAGAGGTTGCTGCCTGTGTTCTCCTTTAGGATTTTGATGGGCTTCTGTCTCACATTTAGGTCTTTCTTCCATTTTGAGTCTATTTTTGTGTGTGGTGTAAGGAAATGGTCCAGTTTCATTCTTCTGCCTGTGGCTGTCCAATTTTCCCAACACCATTTGTTGAAGAGACTGTCTTTGTTCCATTGGACATTCTTTCCTGCTTTGTCGAAGATTAGTTGACCATAGAGTTGAGGGTCCATTTCTGGGCTCTCTGTTCTGTTCCATTGATCTGTGTGTCTGTTTTTGTGCCAGTACCATACTGTCTTGATGATGACAGCTTTGTAATAGAGCTTGAAGTCCGGAATTGTGATGCCGCCGGCTTTGCTTTTCTTTTTCACATTTCTGTGGCTATTCGGGGTCTTTTCTGGTTCCATACAAATTTTAGGATTATTTGTTCCATTTCTTTGAAAAAAGTTGATGATATTTTGATAGGAATGCATTAAATGTGTAGATTGCTGTAAGTAGAATAGATATTTTCCACAATATTTGTTCTTCCAGTCCATGAGCATAGAACGTTTTTCCATTTCTTTGTGTCTTCCTCAATTTCTTTCATGAGTATTCTATAGTTTTCTGAGTACAGATTCTTTGCCTCTTTGGTTAGATTTATTCCTAGGTATCTTATGGTTTTGGATGCAATTGTAAATGGGATCGACTCCTTAATTTCTCTTTCTTCTGTCTTGTTGTTGGTGTATAGAAATGCAACTGATTTCTGTGCATTGACTTTATATCCTGCCACTATACTGAATTCCTTTCTGAGTTCTAGCAGTTTTGGGGTGGAGTCTTTGGGGTTTTTCACATAAAGTATCATATCATCTGCAAAGAGTGAGAGTTTGATGTCTTCTTTGCCGATTTGGATGCCTTTTATTTCTTTTTGTTGTCTGCTGTGGCTAGGACTTCTAATACTATGTTGAATAGCAGTGGTGATAGTGGACATCCCTGCCGTGTTCCTGACCTTAGTGGGATAGCTCTCAGTTTTTCCCCATTGAGTGTGATATTCGCTGTGGGTTTTTCATAGATGGCTTTTATGATATTGAGTTATGTACCCTCTATCCCTATACTCTGAAGAGTTTTAATCAAGAAAGGATGCTGTACTTTGTCAAATGCTTTTTCTGCATCTATTGAGAGGATCAGATGGTTCTTGTTCTTTCTTTTATTAATGTATTGTATCACAGTGATCGATTTGTGGATGTTGAACCAACCTAGCAGCCCAGGGATAAATCCCACTTGGTCGTGGTGAATAATCCTTTTAATGTACCGTTGGATCCTATTGGCTAGTATTTTGATGAGAATTTTGGCATCCATGTTCATCAGGGATATTGGTCTGTAGTTCTCCTTTTTGATGAGGTCTTTGTCTGGTTTTGGGATCAAGGTAATGCTGGCCTCATCAAATGAGTTTGGAAGTTTTCCTTCCATTTATGTTTTTTGGAACAGCTTCAGAAGAATAGGTATTAATTCTTCCTTAAATGTTTGGTAGAATTCCCCTGGGAAGCCATCTGGCCCTGGGCTCTTGTTTCTTGGGAGATTTTTGATAGATAACTGCTTCAGTTTCCTTAGTGGCTATAGGTCTGTTCAGGTTTTCTATTTCTTCCTGGTTCAGTTTTGGTAGTTGATACATCTCTAGGAATGCATCCATTTCTTCCAGATTATCTAATTTGCTGGCATATAGTTGCTTATAATATGTACTTATAATTGTTTGTATTTCTTTGGTGTTGGTTGTGATCTCTCCCCTTTCATTCATGATTTTATTTATTTGGGTCCTTTCTCTTTTCTTTTTGATAAGTCTGGCCAGGGGTTTATCAATCTTACTAATTCTTTCAAAGAACCAGCTCCTAGTTTCGTTATCTGTTCTACTGTTCTTTTGGTTTCTGTTTCATTGATTTCTGTTCTGATCTTTATTATTTCTCTTCTCCTGCTGGGTTTAGGCTTTATTTGCTGTTCTTTGTCCAGCTTCTTTAGGTGTAGGGTTAGGTTGTGTATTTGAGACCTTTCTTGTTTCTTGAGAAAGGCTTGTATTGCTATATACTTTCCTCTTAGCACCGCCTTTGCTGTATCCCAAAGATTTTGAACAGTTGTGTTTTCATTTTCATTTGTTTCCATGAATTTTTTTAATTCTTCTTTAATTTCCTGGTTGACCCATTCATTCTTTAGCAGGATGCTCTTTATTTAGCCTTCATGTATTTGAGCTCTTTCCGACTTTCCTCTTGTGATTGAGTTGTAGTTTCCAAGCATTGTGGTCCAAAAATATGCAGGGAATGATCCCAATCTTTTGGTACCAGTTGAGACCTGATTTGTGACCCAGGATGTGATCTATTCTGGAGAATGTTCCATGTGCACTAGAGAAGAATGTGTATTCTGTTGCTTTGGGATGGAATGTTCTGAATAGATCTGTGAAGTCCATGTGGTCCAGTGTGTCATTTAAAGCCTTTATTTCCTTATTGATCTTTTGCTTAGATGATCTGTCCATTTCAATGAGGGGAGTGTTAAAGTCCCCTACTATTATTGTATTGTTGTCAATGTGTTTCTTTGATTTTGTTATTAATTGGCTTATACAATTGGCTGCTCCCATATTAGGGGCATAAATATTTACAATTGCTAGATCTTCTTGTTGGATATTCCCTTTAAGTATGATGTAGTGTCCTTCCTCATCTCTTATTATAGTCTTTGGTTTAAAATCTAATTTGTCTGACATAAGGATTGCCACCCCAGCTTTCTTTTGATGTCCATTAGCATGATAAATGGTTTTCCACCCCCTCATTTAAATCTGGAGGTGTCTTTGTGTCTAAAATGAGTCTCTTGCAGACAGCGTATTGATGGGTCTTTTTTTTTTATCTAGTCTGATACCCTATGTCTTTTGATTGGGGCATTTAGTCCATTTACATTCAGGGTAACTATTGAAAGATATGAATTTAGTGCCACTGTATTGCCTGTAAGGTGACTGTTACTGTATATTGTCTCTGTTCCTTTCTGGTCTGTGTTACTTTCAGGCTCTTTCTTTGCTTAGAGGACCCCTTTCAATATTTCTTATAGGGCTGGTTTGGTGTTTGCAAATTCTTTTAGTTTTTGTTTGTCCTGGAAGCTTTTTCTCTCTCCTTCTATTTTCAATGACAGCCTAGCTGGATATAGTACTCTTGGCTGCATATTTTTCTCGTTTACTGCTCTAAATATATCATGCCATCCTTTCTGGCCTGCCAGGTCTCTGTGGATAGGTCTGCTGCCAGTCTAATGTTTCTAGCATTGTAGGTTACAGACCTCTTGTCCTGAGCTGCTTTCAGGATTTTCTCTTTGTTTCTGAGACTTGTCAGTTTTACTGTTAGATGTTTGGGTGTGGACCTATTTTTATTGATTTTGAAGGGGATTCTCTGTGCCTCCTGGATTTTGATGCCTGTTTCCTTCCCCAAATTAGGTTAGTTGTCTGCTATAATTTGCTCCCATATACCTTCTGCCCCTCTCTCTCTTTCTTCTTCTTCTTCTGGGATCCCAATTATTCTAATGTTGTTTCACTTTATGGTATCACTTATCTCTCAAATTTTCCCCTTGTGATCCAGTAGTTGTTTATCTCTTTTTCTCATCTTCTTTATTCTCCATCATTTGGTCTTCTATATCTCTAATTCTCTCTTCTGCCTCATTTATCCTAGCAGTTAGAGCCTCCATTTTTGATTGCCCCTCATTAATAGGGGTTTTGATTTCGATGTGGTTAGATTTTAGTTCTTTTATTTCTCCAGAAAGGGATTCTCTAGTATCTTCTATGCTTTTTTCAAGCCCAGCTAGTATCTTTAAAATCATCATTCTGAACTCTAGTTCCGACATCTTACTAATGTCTGTATTGATTAGGTCCCTGGCAGTCAGTACTGTTTCTTGTTCTTTTTAAAGTTAAGGTGATTTTTTCCATCTTGTCATTTTCTCCAGAGGAGAATACATGAATGAGAGAACAAAATGCTAACAGGGTAACAACGACCCCAGAAAAACACTAAACAAATCAGAAGAGACCCGAAACTGGGGGAAAAGAAGGAAATAAAAATAATAATAATATGATCAGGCTGGTGAATAGAACAGAGCCACACTCTAGATTTTGGATGTATTTTGGTCTCTTAGAAGAAATTGCCTCCCAAATTTTTAAAGAATGAACAACTTATATATATATACAAAAAATAAGGCTAAATACAATGAAGGGATAAAATGAGTGTAAAAATGAAAATTAAAAAAGATTTTAAAAAAGGAATTGATAAGATGTTGGTTGAAAAGGGAAGAAGAAAAATTCAACTAAAAAACATAGAAAAATAAAAAAATAAAGAAAATCTAAAAAATTAACTTTGAAAGACTAAAGAATCATGGGGGAAAAGCCATGAATTCTATGTGCAATATTCCCCACGCGCTGGAGTTCTGCCGTTCTCATTGATCGGTAAACTTGGTCTTGGCTGGCTGTTCTCACTGATCTTCTGGGGGAGGGGCCTGTTGCCGCAGTTCCCAAATGTCTTTGCCGGAGGCGGAATTTCCCCACCCTTGCCGGGTCCAGGCTAAGTAATCTGCTCTGGTTTGCTCTCAGGAGCTTTTGTTCCCTGCAAGCTTTCCGTACAGCTTTGGAGGCCGAGAGTGAAAATGGTGGCCTCCCAGTCTCCGCCCCAGAGGAGCCGAGAACTCAGGGCCCTGCTCCTCAGTGAGCCCCCAGAGAAAAGCAGTCACTCCCATCTCCCCGGTCTCCGGCCGCACTCCGTGCTCCCCCAGCCTGTGACCGAGTGTTTCTACCTCTGGCACCCGACCCCGTGCGGAGTCTCCAAACCCAGCAGATCCCTGCGGTGCGCTCCCGCACCGCTCCTCCTGGGGGAGGAAGGGGAGTCTCCGCGGATCTGCCGCTTGTTGGGTCCCTGCTGGAGGAGCAGTGGCCCGACTGTGCTGTGGATCACGGTTTATGGCAACCCTGAGCTGAGAGCCCGCACCTCGGCTCCGTCTCTGCAGCTGGCTTCCCCGTTCCGATACCTGGGAGCTCTGCCGCACTCAGGCACCCCCGGTCTTTCTGTGACCCTGAGGGTCATGAGACCACACTGTCCCGTAAGGGTTCCACCCCCCGCTTAGCCACTGGAGTGACGTCCCTCAGCGGAGCAGACTTCTAAAAGTTCTGATTTTGTGCTCCGCGGCTCTATCACTTGCCAGAAGCGGCCAACAGAGGCCCCCTCCCCACCGTCTATCCTCCCGAATATCACCTCGGATTCACTTCTCCGCACGTCCTACCTTCCAGAAAGTGGTCGCTTTTCTGTTCAGAGAGTTGTTGCTCTTCTTTTCTTCGATCTCCTGTTGAGTTCATAGGTGTTCAGAATGGTTTGATCCCTATCCAGCTGAATTCCTGGGACCAGACAAAATTTAGGTCTCCTACTCCTCCGCCATCTTGCTCCTCCCCTTCTTTATCATATAGTCTTGATCCTACTTTACCATATGAGAGTAACTATATTGTAGTATCTAAACTAATGATATAATAATATATCTCATAGCTCTGATGCTACAGAAATGCAAAATTTGTGCATTATTTGGGCTTGAGGATTTTCTTCTAGATTTACTTTTTATTTTATTAAATATTCTTTAAAATAAAATAAAAATCTGCAGTTGTAATCCTTGACCTGAATGATTTGGCAAATATTTGGGTGTTATGCCTGTTTACTGACTGGTATGTACCTTTGCAATAATCTTACGACCATTTGTACTTTTTAAACTTCTTTCCGAAAGTACCATTTGTTGATGAAATTTGGAAATTTATTTTTATATGACTTAGTTTCTTTTTTCCCTCCCAGCATACAGCATGCCTCTGCAATGCCATCATTTCCTTGCTGAAAGTTCCTCTTTCGTTTCAGAGATATTTTTTCCAGAAACTGCAATCTACCAGCATCAAGGTAATACTCTGTAGCAAAATATGAAGGTTAATACAAATTAAACACCCAGTTATCTTCTGGAATACATGGGATATAGCTCTGCTTCAGGGTCTTACCTTTGGTTTTGATACACCCTTTAGTTGTAAGTTTTTTCTCCCTTTATCAAGTGGTTTTGTAAAGGTAATGGGATTTGGGAGTTAAGCCCTTTCCCTTCTTATTTGTCAGTGCCAGGTGCAGTGCGACAGGCACTTGGGTACCTGGAGCTCTGTCCCTTGTCTCCAAGAATAACTTGAGAGGTTTTCATCATAAGTCCTCTAGAAGGATCTTGAGCTGAGTTCGCGTCTGATCAGGCTTTTCAGACCCCATTTAGAGTAAATCAGGTCTGGTAAGACATTACCAGTCCTACCTCCAGAGTGCTTTTGTCTGTGAATATCAAGTTTTGAGGAGTTGGCCAGTGAGAAGAGCTAATATTTTAAAATATTTGAGCTCTCCAAATTCAAAAGCTATTTTTGATTCAAAGAACAGAATTGTTGGAAATGGTGGAAAACTCACCTCCAAGAGATTTCCTAGATTATCCCTCTGTCAGTAAATGTCTTCAGTGCACTTTTTCATATCCATTTGAATGCTTTTGATTGTAAATAACAGAGCATTCCATTTCAAAATGACCTGAATCACAAGAAAAATTGATTATCTCAGATAAGATGTCTTAAGGTAGGATGTGTGCAGGGTTGATTGATGCAATGCTTAGCATCATCAAAAAGACACACGTCTTCCATCTTTTCATTTAGCAGAATTTGGGCTTTCTGTAATTTAAGGGTATTTGGGATTTTTAATATGTTCTTAAATAAAAACTACTCTAATGAGAGGTTAAAAATGTTATTTGGGGGCGCCTGGGTGGCTCAGATGGTTAAGCGTCTGCCTTTGGCTCAGGTCATGATCCCGGGGTCCTGGGATCGAGTCCCGCATCGGGCTCCCTGCTAGGCGGGGAGCCTGCTTCTCCCTCTGCCTCTGCCTCTCTCTTTCTCTCTCTCTGACTCTCATGAATAAATAAATAAAACATTAAAAAAAAGTTATTTGGTTCATTTGTGGAAATTGACTTTATACCACTGTGACTTGATCATATATGTAATTCTAGAATTTTAAGTTCACTTGCCCTTGAATTTAGTCTATTTAAAATTACATAAGACCAAATTACATAGACAGCAGCTAGACATGAAAATTTACATAGTGCATTTCCCTGCTGGAATTGGTTCATTGTCAAAGAAATGCCCCCCTACAGAAATGAGGAAGACTAGGGCCTTCGCTGTTTTCTGATCCTCAGTTACCCTCACACAGAACTGGGATTTGAGGCATAAAACACAGTGGTATTTAAAGAGGCATTAGGGAGAGGGACCCCTTGACTTTAAAGGTGCATTTGTCTGGGTGTCCCAGCAGTCAGGTCATTAGCTGTGTAACGTTGTAACCTATAGACAACAATCAGCACAAACATGTTTGTTGGAAGAAAGCTTGTTCTTGCTTGTGAGCATTCGTCTTAATGTTGGTATTCCAGCTTGCTCTGTCGCCATCGCCCCGGAACCCTGCCGAGCCCATCGCTGTCCAGAATAACCAGCAGCTGGCACTAAAGGTAGAGGGAGTGGTTCAACACGGATCTAAGCCAGGACTCTTTCGCAAAATTCAGTCCGTCTGTCTGAATGTTTCTTCCACACTACAGAGTAAATCCGGACAAGACTACAAGGTAATTTAAAAAAGAGGCAGAGTTGTGATATGGATTTTATCAGCTCATTCATAGAAGTTTTCCAGTGATTTTCATGGTTAAGCAGATTGTAGTTACACCTCCCATGGGAAGAGATACAGACATAAGTTAAAAGCACCTATTGGGGTTTGAGGGGGCTGATAAATAATAACCTCTCTTTTCTCTGCCTGAACCAGTTGATAGAGAAAGCATCCAGGCAGACAGAGATCAAAATATGAGCCTCACTGTTTAGCGATGGGGACACCTAGCTCAGGTGCCTGGCAACAAGGACTTCCTAGCCTTGTACCTCTGAATTGAATTTTCCCACCCAGCCTCAGCCTGTGCACACAAGAGCCTGCCCCTATAAAATCGATGGCAGGAAGGAGCATCCTGATGTCCAAAGAAGGGAAAGAGAAGGTCTTAGCTCCCCATGCTCAGTTCTTACCCAAAAACTTAGCGGTCAGTAGAATTCACCTCCTCCCCTGGAGACCAGTTTTGTTTATCTCATGAAAAGTCCCTCTACCTGGAGGGAAACATCACGAGTGGGGAATAAGTGCCTCCCTATCCCCCTTGCCCCCCAAAAGCACACATCTAATTATTTTTCTCTATTTTAAGTAGATATTAGCATTTTCTAAAGAAAAAAGGGTAGACAACATTGACAGACAATGGTCAGATAAAGTAAAATCTTCCCTTATGGATGTAACCCTAGGAATTTGCTGCTTTGAGAAATTATGAGGTAGGTAACCAAAAATCGTGCTTGCTTTGTTAGCCAAGGCCAAGGTGCTAAATACCATGGAATACCAGTATTCCAAATGCAGAACATTCCTTTCTTGAGACATCTCTTTCCAGTTCCTTGGTGGCTTATTCACAGAAAATAGAACAAGGGAGCAAGTACACAGTTGTATGAACAGAGTTGTTCAAATGCCCAAAATTGGTTATGTCCAGGTTTATTGTGGCCATACTTGAACTGAGCTCCAAAGTAAGGAAAGGAATTAATATTCCGTAAAGATATAAAAAGAGAACATTTTATTCTCTTTGGTGGTTTTTAGGGAGAAGGTGTGGTTTAAGCCATTTTTATTTCTTGTCTTTGGTAACTTTCTATCCCTTCTTTTCCCACCCTGATAAGGCTCAGGCTTCATTCTCTTGCTCTCTTTGATTCCTACAACACAGACTGTGGTGCCTTATGTAGCCCTGTGTAGCAAATATTTGATGAATGATGACAAAATCATTTACTGTATTTAGATGTAGTACAACTGTTACGTTTGGGCAATCCTTAGGTCGTAGTGAGAATTGACATAGCTAACCTACCCCCGTCAGCAGCAGCTGTGTCCTCGTTTAGAGTTTGAAAGAACAGTAATTCTCTTTGTTCCTTGTATATAATGATTTCTAGTGTTAAAAAAACAAACATTCAAACCAGGCTTCTGCTTATTAACTTACCTCTCGAGGCATTGCTTAAAGTCAGGAAGCCGATATAATAAGTCATGTAGTAAGATTTGTAATGTTACTTGCGGTGAGTTTTCAACTTGAAATGCATCATCCGTTCAGAGTGATCAGGTTGCTTAGGCCTATCTCTAGTCCTTTTAAGGAAGTTCGTGTTTGGTAGGCATATTCTTTAGGGACATAAAAACCCTACAGAAGTTGTGCAAACAAACAGAATGGAGCCTATAAATAATCCTAAGATCTCGAATTGGTCAGTGACTTCATTTCATCGACATTACAGGTAAATGTCTCTGGAAAACTGACGTCAAGATATGCTCATTTAGTCAGAGTTTCAGGGCATATTTATATCATTGATTAGGCAACAGAAACACACACATAAACCTAGAGCAGTCTGGCCAAATAGTCATTAAGGTTACCTTTATATGCGTTCCAGAATAAGTGTCTCTCTTGGCATACTTCATCTTGGGTACAGGTCAGGGTGTACCAGCAGATGTTACTCTGTTTTTCAAAGGACAAAGACATGGGTGTCTAGCTAAATAAGTGAACAAGCCCATAAACCTGTGTTTTATAATATATTGTGCTGCCAGTCTGAACAAGATACTGAGTATTACGTAAGCACTGTACAAGTTCTAAAGTTAATTTGTTAAAGGAGGGAGGAACAATTGCATTACTGAAGCAATATAAAATCAGACAAGTTAGGAGGAAGAACCCTAACTTGTATTTACTTAGTGTTAGGTTCTTTTTCAGTCTCTTAGATTTTAAACTTCCTGCAACAGGTAATTGCTCCATGTTTCTTCAGAATATCTCCTCACAGAGTAAAGAAAAGTAAAGTAAAGAAAGATGGGAATTGGAGTTGGGGTCGGGTAAGCGAGTGTAGTAGAAGAAAATTTTCTCTTCCATTGTCTTAGGGTCTCCTGCTGGGCCTAAGATTAAACTGATATTATTAACATGAGAAAGGCATACAGGTTTGTTAGAATTGTACCTATACACGGGAGTCTTCACAAGACAATGGAAACCCAAAGAAGTGACCAGAGCAAAAAGCTTACATAACTTTTACACAAACGGTAAATTTGTGAAGACAGAAAACAAGGGCGAGGGGCAGTAAACTGGGGAAGTGATTGGGAGAGAGGCGGCCAGGGGGGTGGGGGGCACCTGTGGGAGATAGGGGTTATTGTAGTTTATTTGTAGAGGTACATTTCAGCATTGACTCCCAGTCTCTAGTGATAAGGATGTTCTCCTCTTCTTGGTACAGAGAAGGACACTTTCTCATGGGAGGTTTTATGGCCTGTTTTAGGTAAAAATGCGGCGGTCAGAGAGCCCTTCCTCCATCTGCTGTTTCTCAGGTGCCTTTAGCTTAAAATAATGTGCCAAAGCAGCATATTTTGAGGTGGCATGTCCTGAGCTCCTTCACAAGGAAGAAAGGCCAGCATATGAAGGGGTTGAGAAAGGCTCTGGGAGCTCATTCTACTCAGGGATAGTGAGGAGGCAGGATGGCTTAATGGTGAAGAGTGTAGGCTCTGGAGTTAGCCTGCCTAGGTTGCCTAGCCTGCCACTCCTTAGCTATGTGACCTTGGAGAAATTACTTAAACTCTCTGCCTCAGTTTCCTCATCTATAAGTCAAGGGTAAAAATAGTACCTAAACCTCTTAGTTGTTTGCAGGGATTAAGTAAGCACTTCATATGGGGCCTAGCTCCAGTAAGTGCTTACTCCAATAAGCACTCCGTAAACGTTAGCTATTGTTATTTAACAATTTTTTCATTCCAGATACCCATTGACAATATGACCAATGAGATGGAGCAGAGGGTTGAACCTCATAACGATTACTTCAGTACTCAATTTCTGTTGAACTTTGCTATCCTTGGAACACACAACATTACAGTAGAATCTTCAGTGAAAGACGCCAATGGTATTGTATGGAAGACAGGTCCCAGAACTACCATATTTGTAAAATCCCTGGAAGACCCTTATTCCCAGCAAATTCGCCTCCAGCAACAGCAAGCCCAGCAACCATTACAACAGCAACAACGAAATGCCTACTCACGGTTTTAGCCACATGAGGAATGCACTCCTGGCTTTATAGGAATTGATCAAATGGGCAAAAATAATTTGATTTTTCATATGGATTCAGATATGAAAGTTAGAATGTGGAGTCCATTTATTCATTGGTTTCTATAATGTAATACTCTGGGGGAAAAAAGGGTTTGTTTTTCTTTAGAAATTTAATTTGAGAAATAACTGCGTTCCTAGCCAGCAAGATTTTTTATCCTTGTTCCTTCTTAAACCAAGTCCTTTATCATCTGTTTGACATTTTCATTGTTTTATTATTGTTTTTATGTTGCTGAGCCTTTTCTTTCGCTTTCAAGAAAAGTCATGTGTTGGGATCACTGCATTTATAGATTTGACTCCCTGTTCACCAAAATACATCACTCGCTACCTGGCACAGATAATTCTGAGCCAGGCATTGGGAAATTCTGACCGGTTAGTACAAAATTGACCTGTGGTAGGAGGAACCAAGTTCTCCCCGGGATTGACTTCAGTGTGTCCCCTGAAATCCAGTTTTCTGGATTTTGAGAGCATGCAGTCTAGCAGAATTGAAACACCGTGCTATATTATTTCAGCTACTTAACCTATCTTTTCTATGCTAACACAATCTTAATTTATTGTTTTAGTATTTAATTGACCTGAAAAAAACAGGTAACAAATACATACAAAAATTGGAGATTAATCATTGGTGTTTTCTAGTATGTGTATGGTTTTGTTTATAGTATAGACTTTTTACATTATTTCTAAGAGCGAAAAAACTCACTCACATGTACTATCTTAATTTTTTAAATTAGGAAGGCAGATCTTTTGATTGGTTTGGTTTCTTCTTGGCAAGTTATGTAATACTAGACTTGATTGTCTAGAAAGAACAGCCTCTTTATAACACAACCTCAATTAGTTGGGATGCTCAGGGAATAGAAGTTTTCTGGTTAGCCAGAAGACCCCTTTTTTTCTATTTCAATACTGGTTGAAAACTGTTATAATAATAAACTTTCTTGTCTTAACACGGTATACTGGATGCAATTTACCTGTTCATTCTTCATTTGGGATAATTCAGTGCTCGGGATCATGGTTTTCTAAACATCAGGGATCATAGGGTTGCAGATGTTGTTGATGATATGGACAGTTGGGCTGTAAGCAGCTCCTAAGATGAAGCAGGACACATTCCCTGGAAGCTTCCTTTTTAAATAAATCTCTCATTTTCTTTGCTTGTGTTTCGCCTTTTCTTTTTTTCTTTAAAGACAGCATTAGCTCAAAGGGAAAAAAAAAATGAGTTGGTTTTTCCTTTTTCCTTGTCATGTCGCCTCCAGTGGTGAGAAGTGATTGGCAACTCAGATTCCTCTGAGATTGCATAGCTCCATGAGCTGTTGTCCCAGCAAAGCACCCTCTGCTGCCATTGGCCAGAACATTGTCATAAAACATGTAAGTCCACAGTGTCCACTGAGGATGCCATCCCTTTAAATGCAGCCCGGTTGTGGACAGTGCACGATGTGGACAGCTGTGACAGCATCTGGGAACAC